AGTTAGAGCAAGTTTACTGAGCCCCACCAAAATGTATGAATATTCAATTTCTTCCAGGGGTGCCAAACAGGGTTCTAAAATAGGATTACCCCTCCTGGTACCTACAGTAATCCCAGATGTAGGACACTATAATACCCCATATATCACTCCTCATCAGAATTATGAAATGTATATCCTGTGAACCTTGCCCCCAATCCTTTCCAAATTTAGTCAAGCAACACTCTCAAACACAAAAAATACTTATGATGGCTACCCAAAATATCAGTGATTCAAATGGTGAACTCAAAAAGCTTTTCCCTTCCTTCTAGACATATTTTTATTTGATTTTTATCTCCTTTCCTTCCATGCCTAGTCAATCTGGTTCTGCTTGATGACCAAATCAAAATGCAAGTATATGATCAGCAGGTCACCAATATTCAGCTGGCTGGTGAAAAAATAGAAGGCAATGACCTACATCAAAATCACAAACATTTCCTGTTGTTTATACTTTTTGGTGATCTTGTGAGGACAATGTGTATTTGGGGATTATCTGAAGAATTTGTGGTGTGAAGATGGGATTCAACTGGGGACTAAAAGCACTCTACAGTTGTGCAGATTTTTATCTGCCAAAATTTAGACTTATTGTGTCTATATGAACATGTGGAAGGGCTCCAGAATGATTTGACACAAAGTCCTCCGCTGTCAATTGAGCAAGTGGAGTTCCAGGTTGACAAGAAGACCTCATAAAATAAAACAACTCCCAAAATTTTGCCAACAACTTCCATTTTGGTCGAGGGGTCGTCGGACAGGAGTCGTTCCTCCAAATCAATGGCCAACTTTGGGAGTTGGCCATCAATTTTTTTTTTTTTTTTTTTAGAGATTTGGCGCCCCAAACCACCCCTCATGCTTGAAGGGGTTTGGGATTCGTCGCTCCCATGACCGGAAGGATTTCCTTCCGGTCAACGAGAAGTCATACCTCATCGATCGGAAGGGATTCCTTCCAGTCGATGAGGTATAACAAACTCATTGACTGGAAGGAATCCCTTCTGGTCGATGAGATTGTTACATCTCATTGATTGGAAGGAATCCCTTCTGATCAATGAGGTATAACAACCTCATCAATTGGAAGGGATTCCTCCCAATTGATGAGGTTGTTGCATCTCATTGACAGGAAGGAATCCCTTCCGGTCAATGACATTGTTATACCTCATTGATTGGAAGGGATTCCTTCCGTCAATGCATGAGGATGTTATACCTCATTAACCGGAAGGAATCCCTTCCGGTCAATGAGATTTTTGTTTCTTGTCGACCGAAAGGAAATCCTTCCGGTCATGGGAGCGACGGCTCCCAAACCCCCTCAAGCATGAGGGGTGGTTTGGGGCGCCGACTCCCTAAAAATAAAAATTGAAAAATTGAAAAATTAAAAAAAAAAAACAATGATGGCCGACTCCCAAAGTCGGCCATCGATTTGGAGGAACAACTTCCGTCTGACAACCCCTCGACCAAAATGGGAGTTGTCGGCGAAATTTTGGGAGTCGTTTTTCCGACCCCCTATAAAATAGGGGCTTGGTTAATCGACTCCCAAAAGTTGGAGAGTCGACTCCCAAACCCCCAAAACCCCCGAAATTCCCCCGTATCCCCCGAGTTTTGGGAGTCGATTCCCCAAACCCGTCAGCGGGTTTGGGAGTCGAATCCTCAAAAATTTAAAAAAAAAAAAAAAAAAAAAACCCCGGAGGGGGACGGAGTCGATGCCCCAAAACCCAGTGGGTTTTGGGGGTCGGCGAGCCAAAAAGAGCCCTTGATGGCCGGGATGATTCCTCCCGGCCGTTGAGGATGTACAGTGGGTGGACCGTTATTTTTGGCTGCTTGTTTTGGATCCCAGAGCTTCAAAGCACCAGATTAAAGTCATGGGGCTTGGTCAATTGGTGCAGAATAGGTCCCAAAAAATGAATATGAAAAAATAAAAACAAAAAACAAAGTTTGAAAATTTGTGAAAAATAAAAAATAAAATTTGTTTTTCTCAAAAGCTTTGATATTCATTTTGGGGGAGTGGGAGTGCTGAGAGAAAGCAAGATTGGGAAATGAGAAGAATGATTATAAATTAAAATTTTGGAAAGATTGGTTTCCAGATGGCTTCAAACAGCTGTTGAGTGAGGCATTCACCAGCCCACATTGCAGTCAAGCACTAGAATTTACTGTTTTGGCTCCAATCTGGACAACCAACCTGGCCAAACCTTTTTTGGTTCCAATTTTTTTCATTTATAATCATTCTTCCCATGTTCCCCTCTTTATTTCTCTCTGCACTCCCACTCCCCCAAAATGAATATCAAAGGTTTTGAAAAAAATGAGTTTTATTTTTTATTTTTCACAAATTTTGAAACTTTACTTTTTGTTTTTATTTTTTCATATTCATTTTCTGGGACCTATTATGCACCACCTGAACAAGTCTCATAACTTCAATTCTGTTTTTCAGAGCACTGGGGTCCAAAACAGGCAGCCAAAAATAACGGTCCACCCACTGTACATGTACACTTTTGACGGCCGAGAGAAACCCTCCCGGCCGTCAAGGATGTACACCTTCGACAGCCGAGAGAAACCCTCCCGGCAGTCGAGGATGTACACTCTCGACGGCCAAGAGAGAACCTCTCGGCCGTCAAGGATGTACACCTTCGACGGCCAAGAGAACCCCTCCCGGCCGTCGAGGATGTACACTCTCGACGGCCGAGAGAAACACTCTCGGCCGTTGAGGGTGTACACACTCAACGAATGGTTGAGAAGTGTACATGTAAATCCTCGACGGCCGGGAGGGGTTCTCTCGGCCATCGAGGGGTCTTTTTGGCTCGCCGACCCCCAAAACCCAGTGGGTTTTGGGGCATCGACTCCGTCCCCCTCCGGGGTTTTGTTTTTTTTTTATTTAAAATTTTTGAGGATTCGACTCCCAAACCCGCTGACGGGTTTGGGGAATCGACTCCCAAAACTCGGGGGATACGGGGGAATTTCGGGGGTTTTGGGGGTTTGGGAGTCAACTCTCCAACTTTTGGGAGTCGATTAACCAAGCCCCATAAAATATTATGCTTGCTATCTTGAGAGTTTAACTATTAAAGGAACCACCCCCTGCCCCCCCCCCCCTAAAACACAAAAAACCATGTTCCCCTGACAATATCTGAAGCACTCAACAATTTCACTCTCTCCAGGTTTACACCTGGATTGGCTACTCAATCAAAATGGCAAGCCGGGAAATGTGAAAAACAATCCAACTTCTCCCCTGCATCCTTGAATACCTCACTCTTGCCAAATTGTTAACTACAGGCTTTATCATCCTTTCCACCGTTGGTTTCCATCAGAATGAATCCCTCCCTCTTCCAGTTATATGCAATATTGCAGACTTCACCTTCTATTCACACTTGAACCATATTCCAACTTATTATTGACAACAAACCTTTGGGAAAAATTTGAGAATTCAGCTTGAGAAGCACCTATAAAAGGAGGAAACAAAGACTATCATGAAGTCTTTCATAAGAAAACTTCCCATCAAATCTCCATCCTTGCAGACTCGCAGAGGTTGACTTAGACATGAAATGCCTGTATTTTTGCAGAGAAATGGAGGATATTCCATAGAATAAGACTTCAACCCGCTAAAACCAGATTCTTGACGCAAAAGGCTATAAATCTGGTTCTGTAAGGGCTACAGAAGCGATGGGAAGTACCTCTTGAGGTTTTCAATTGATTCTGAGGGGGACCGCAGAGCTTGATGAGAAGTCCTCCATTATTCAGCTTTGAAAGCTTGATTCCAGCAATTTTGAATAGACGTTGTAATTCAACAATGTGATCATGGGTCTTGCTGGCCCTTGGTGAGTCTTGATGCGTCTTGACGAATTCGACGGACTTCCATGAAGTTCCCCTTGATCAGCAACCCCTCCCCCCAGACTTGGGGCCATCGACTTGTACAACTCATCACACGAGCTATAGCTTGTGGGAAGCAAAAGGGAGATAAGTATGTATGTATAGAAAATGGGTATATTGAACATAGGAACGAGTGGAAGAAATAGAAGTGTTCTTAGCCCATCTGCTTGACACATTTTTCATCTTTACAACATGCGGCATAAGAGCATGGCAACGCGACCAAACCCAACAGGTCCCGCTGGTTGTCTTTATATTTGCTTGGAAATTCATGTGACGGTCAAGTAAGAGCGTGGCTCGCTGTTCGGTGATAAACAGGTACCATGAGAAAAGCTTAATTTGTTACTGGCACAAGGAAGTGATCCATTGCCATTGCCTGTGGGTGTGACTCCGCTGGGCGTTGCTGAATGGACGCGCCACTCGTTAATCTCATGAGCCGCGTTGCGGATCGAGATTTTTCTATGAGCCAATGTGCCTTACCATGATACCAAGCACCATTTTTGGGACAGATTGCTCTAAATGTATCGAGTGCCGGTTGTGTATAGTTCAACCAGTTATTAACCAGACTGTGCTTTGTCGATATCAATCCCTGGCCCGCATCTCACGACATCCAACTCTCAACTAGCTGGTTCGTAGGCCGTCGTCCTTCACCAAGGGATTCCGTCGAGTTGTGTATTGATTTTGTATGTAGGCCGAGTTGTTGTAGATCCTGATCTTCCAATATAATTACAAAGTCCGCAATTAGCTGTTAGCACTCAATTGCGCAATAAATTGGGCCCCCGAATACATGTTACCTATTTCCTACCATTCATTCGCAGCATACTGTTTCCTACTGTTGCCTTCCACTCTGCGTCGCTTCAATACAATCCACTGATCGATGGCTTAACGTCAACTCTACGGCGAAAATAGATTTTCATTGTGGAGTTTTCCATACTCAATGTATCAACGGCGCTGTGGCCGCCTGGCGAGTCTCGACATCGCTCCCAGAAATAAATATGCGCACTGCATAGGCTATCGGTTGTACGATATACTGCAAGTGACTGCCGTGTCTTCCGTATGCGTTTGTTTTCCCGGGTACATAGTCCCTCATCTAAATTGGTGGCTTTCCCAAGAAAAAGATCAGCAGCAACCTCCCTCCTTCCTTCCTCCACATAGATACACACACCGATCACTTCAGGTATATCTGGCGTCCGATTCGGATTAAGCATCCTTATACCCCCCCCCCCACCAAACTTTCGTTCTTCACCTCCCAAAATCCACGCTGTAGGCAATCCATGACTTGCAAAGACTCTCCTGCTTCCATCTTCAGTCCCTTGTCGGACTGCGTGATTGAAGAAGCAAGTGCCAGGGACAGTATCAGCAATCACGATGGGTTCCTCACTATCAATGCACCTAATACGGCGCAACCTTCTACTGAACACACATTGGATCGATACCTCGAAACACCCACTCTAGTCATTCCCGATCGTCCCTTCCGCACCCATTTTTTCGCTTCTGAATTCGCGAGTGAGCGGCGGGCTTATATCAAAGCTGTTGCTCTAAGCACCCTTTGGACGGCCTTGGTTATAATCAGTGTCCTTAGCATATACTGGGGCACTTTGTGGAAACTGGATGAGCATGCTTACAGACTGAGAGGTGTGGTGGTAGACTTCGATCAAGGAGATATTGGGCAGGCTATTCTACGCGCTTCACAGGAGCAGACAGGCTCGCCTCGACAGATCACCTGGACAGTTGAAAATCCTTCCGCCTTCAAAGATGCTTCGGGTGTGGCGCAGCTCGTCTTGGATGAGCGGTATTGGGTTGCAGTTGTCGGTAAGTCCTCAAGGTCCAAATTTTGCTACCTTGTGCAATTCTCGAAGGGCCATATATTATTTTGCCATGGGGGGGAACACTGAATGCGGGCACTTGTTTTGGCCACAGTGCAACCCGGCGCTACTGATAACCTGAGGAAAGCCGTCTCTTCAGCGGATGCAGCTTATAACGGCTCAGCAGCGGTAACTGTGTATATTTCGCAAGCTCGCCAGGAACAGGCGTACTCCCATTTCATTTCACCGCAAGTAAGCGTGATCTCATTTCTGCTGGCTACATCGCTCATTTACTGTTGCTCATTCAATTTCCTTGACTTGTTCAGGTCAGAGACGTGTTGCAAACAGCCCAACTTTCATTTAGAAATCAAAACGCCAAATCACTCTCTCACTTTTCAAACTTCAATCTTACCAATCTGATGCAAAATGCACCTCAAACGATACTCGATCCATTTGATTTCCAAGTGAACGACTTGAGGCCTTTCGATGTGCCAGTGTACGTCCCATGTGTTCGGTGTCTGCTTTATTCGGGGTGGACAAGCTCATATGGCAATTGCAACACTGTCACCTCATAGCACCACTGCCTTGACGGCTATAGGCTTAATTTACGTGGCGTTTGCCGCCTTGGTCTCATGCGTCAGTTGTTTCCTTTGTTTTAGGAAATGTCAAATCCGTTACTTTTCTGGATCAGAATTAAAATTTGCCTTGTTCGGTCCTCTGATATAGACACATAGCCTTCAGGCACGAAACCGACTTGGTTTGAATGACAAACTGACATTGAAATCCCTCCTCAAAGTGAGGATATGCTCGCCCTTGATCTCTTACTTTTGGCTATCCGTAAGTTAATCCTTCCGCCACATATTTCCATCATAAGCCGGGGTGTACTGCTCAAACATGGGGTGAAGAGAACCAACGAAGAAGATAGAAGCTAATTTTTCAGGCCACCATACCTACAGTTCTCTTATGCTCTCTTGAGTGTGTTCTTCCATGTACCTTTCGGCCGATTTCGCAATGCGGGCGGCTTCCCGCTATGCTGGCTTATGTTCTTTCTCGGGATGAGTGCCCTGTGAGTTTTGTCTGCTGTGTATGGACAAGAGGAAATGTATTTGGGGTTTACAATTGTGTATCCATGTGTTATCACTGTGCTAACTGGCATTCCTTTCCATGATCAACGCGCGTAATTTCCTTTGCTAGGGGACTCACAATAGAGGTAGTCACAATTATCCTTACACCTCAATACGTGTCTTATTTCATGATTTTCTGGATGTAAGCCGCACTATGTTTTCAAAAGATTGATTGAACTCCTCAGCCCAATTGACGAAACATATCGATTACCAACTTTCTAGAATATGGAATATTTCCGTTTGCTACCTTCCTCTTGATGTCTTACCCAGCGTCTATGGATACGCTCACATGGTTAGCATTTCGATCAACTTCTTCACAAAAACCAAACCTGAAGGCTACTGGAGGCCCTTTGTAGGGAAGAGACAGCTGAGAAGCATTTACACACTTTTTTTCAGGCACCTTTCTATAATATCAGTAGAGCAGCAAGAAGTATTATTCTCGACGGCAAGAACGAACGTAAGCTTTTTCAAGATGAGACACTTGCCTGTTGAAGCAGTACCCTGATGCTCCAATTTTGAAAAAACGCTCCTCGGTTCAATTTCGAAACATCTCAATCCCACCCGAAAAAATAGTTCTGATTAATTTTGCAGTTCTACTAGCTTGGACCGTCATTTCAATCATCAACATCATTCTCTGTGAGCTTTGGAAAAGAAGAAAACTACCAATCTTTCGAAATCGAAAAGCCTCCTATGCTTAAGGAGAATGAGAAGCATCGCTGTAAAATTATCTTTTCGCACCAGTTGGCCGTATTTTTCGGCTCTGCTATCAAATCAATCCTGTCTAATTTTTTCGGCTTCTCAGTCCTGATTCTCGACTGACCAGCCGTCCGATGCACATCGGATTCACTTCTACCCTGAACAAGCTCAGCCGCACCAAGTTCCGGTCATACCCAATATAATCATTTCCATAGACATTATTACTTCGACATCATTCGACTTCAACCTGAAAACCACATCCATAGGCCGCAATTTTTGTCAATTAACCGCTGTGTTCACTTCGCTCCCCCTCTCCCCCTCTTCAAAAGCGCACCTGTTTTGTTGTCTTGTTTTCACTTTTAGCATCCCTTTCAAATCGATTTTCATTCCCTATGCTTTTCACCATTCAATATCAGAACTCCACTCTACAATATTGTTTCTTATACCTTCCAATTGTCAATAATTTTTAGGACTGTATAACACGAATTTTATCCGTCAAGAATTCCTGGACTATATTATCACGAACTGAGACGGTTGTAGACCTAATTCCTCTTGTATAAATGTATTTAGCTTGTTCCTCTCATATTCCATCCTTTCGCGTATTTTTTGGTAATTGTCCTTTTTTATTTCTCCCTCAAGATCTCACCCGGGTTTGTCAATATCGATTCATGACTTCTTTTAAATCACGATGCTCAGAATTGTCCAGTTTCCAATTAGTTCTGACTGTGACCCTCACAGGTGTCATCCCAATATTTCTTGAGCATTTGATTTAAATCATTTTCATAATTCATGTTGTGTGTAAATCTTCATTGAGAGAGCGCAGGATATGCGACCCCTAGAAATTGGAGTACATGAAAACGCCCAAACCAACCGCCTGTGGGCAAGACCCACGGCGTTGGCATCATTGCCCTAGATTGGATTTGGGGGTTGTCCGCCCTGGAGAATTTTGATGGCCTGGTGCCGAATAGTTAGCCCGGCCTCCGGAAGGGGCTGCTCCGGGTCGATCATGTTTGTAAAAGTCTATGCAACCTGATCTACCGGGGGGGGGGGGATATTTGATTCCGTCTTATGAGGTTTTACCACAACTTAGGTCATACTTATACCACCTAAACGGCCGGGAAGATTTCCTCCTGGTTGTTCAGGTCGCATCAAACCAGCCGCCCAACGAATGGGCAGTGGCATGTTGCGACATATATCCTAAAGTCAAGTCCCTGCTTCGGGCCGCGGTGCTCCATCCGGGACGAGGATTAGACAAGTTCGCCCCTTGTGCCAGTCTCCATGGCATCGGTGCTTTGGCAGTCTCCGCCGCAATAGAAACCTGCAAGCAGGGCGACGAGTCAGCTGGAATTGGATGCGTTTACGCAAACAACTATTTCGCTGTGTGACTTGGCTGAGACGCACGCGATACTGCCCCTCGAGGCTCTCTCCCTCAGAGTCATGTCTTAACAAGGGGAATCGTGGTTTGCTTGGGCGACCTCAGCAACAATTGTGCATCATTTGGAGGAAAGCTTGACAACCGAATCCCAGTTCGAGTTTCTTACTTGGCCTCAACTTATGCCAACCCCTGCATCTGCGCGACTAATTAGTCGTTGGTTACATGGCACGGAGAAGATTGAACGAAGGCCAAATTTATGAAGATGGAATATATAAGATCACCCTACTGCTCCAGGTTTTTTGAGACACAAGTATACCCAATAGCGAAGGACCCACATCCCATCTGTTCCTAGTAGCGCTTAGAAAATTGCATTAGCTAGGTTCATTACTCTAAACACAATGTTGAACAAAGCAATCCTTATCATGATGATCGTAGTCATGATTCAATCGATCCAAATCTTGGAATCCAAACCCTCTCGGAAGGCCATCGAGAGACGTCGCATTGGTGCCGACTATCCTAGCCCGTTCGTGACTACTATCTTGTGGATTCATTCATCTCAACGAGAATGCTCACGAGATCTTTCCCCTCCCCCTGTTCGTTTCTAACGCGAATCTACTATAGCTCAAATGGCAAAGTGTTGACGAAAAGAAAAGCGGCTAAGAGCAAGGCAGCTGCGAGTGAGAAAACGTCATCTAAAGGAGGTTGCAGCAATAACGGTTGTGGAACAGTGTAAGCAACCAATTTTCAGCTTGGTTTCAGATTCATCTGACAGCTCCAAATGCAAACTAACTGTCTGTATGAACATGTTCTATATAAATTTTCTAGTGATGAAGGTAGCGGGCAAGGCTTCTGATCATTCATTCCCTATACTAGTTTTTCACTCATAACATGGCCCCTGTTTTATCACATCCTATGTACAAACATGTGGCAAAACAACAGTTTCACAAACACCTCCATTTATCTCCATTTAGCCATTCATAAAATTTGTTCAGATAGGCCTTTGTACATATATTCAACCTTTGTACTCCAAAAACAATCATATCCAGTTCGTAGTAAATTTGTGGACTGGCTTACGTATCCAATGCTCAATGCCAGGCTCAGACAAGTGAAGAATAAAAGATTCCCACATTCACATTATAAGGGGCTGACAATATTTGTTCAGTTGGAGAATGAATCTAGACTATAGGACTCAAACTAACAAGTACCAATTGTATGTAAAGTGCTCTAGTTCAAAGATAAGTCTGGACTCTGCACAGAATCATGGGAAACATCCAACTCCCCTTTATCTTGTTCTAGCACTGCACTTGAAGCATAAACCCACTCAATTTTCAAATCTGCCCATGAATCAATTACCACCACATCCACTTCAGGAAGCCTGCACAGTCAGTGTGAAGCACTGCTTCACATTGATGCAATAAAGTTACCACATAAAGTTCCAAAGCTTTGACTGACTTTTTGAAGCAATTTTTTAAAGATAAATGTCTATTCCTGATTCCAAGAGAACAATGTGATAATTGGATCTTGACTGAATTCCTTGAAGAAATAAACCAAAGAGCATACAAACAGAACATGAAATGTGTACCTTTTTTTCTGCAGAAACTTGAAAACCCACTAGAGAAGAAACTATAAACAAGACAAGATGTTATATCCCAGTGTTTCTTTTAGAATGCAATGAAGATGACTTTTTTTTAGCAGAGGTGAATAATCTTCTGAATACATAGCTAATTCAAGCAGCCTCAGTAAATATCTTCAAAAGGAACTTGGATTCCAGGAATCAGACCTAAAATATCCACTAATTTTAAGTTCACATCATATTACAGTGTGAATGTGACATGAAAGAGTTAGAATCTATTGAATTATTACAACATATCACATAGCTTGGTTAAATTCTTCTTTTGGGACCAACATGTAAGGCTTTGTTTTGCACCATCATTATCAAGTGTATTCAAGCATTTTGACAATTTGAAAAAGGTATATCACAACACAACCCCAACAATAAATTAGCAGGGTTCATGATTGAAACATATCAACTGTTCAAGCTCATTTTAACTTTTTTTATCAATAACTTTTTTTGCAAAATTTAGAAAGTTGTGACAGTGTGAATTGTTCAGAAACCCCCAAATCCATCCAACCCATAAAACTTTCAAAATGTGGTTGATCAAGGCCTTAAAATTGGAATCAAAAATTTAAAACTTTCAAGCATGAAAACCGAAATCGGTCCAGCGCATATGAGTGTAGATATATAGTGTGCAACATCAAATATTCAAATCTGCACAAAAAAAATGATTGTAGCTATCTCAATCTTCCAAGAAGCATTGGCATAATTCCACCATGATAAATGTACAATGCCTGTAACAAGTTTTTCATGTTTTTTTTTGCTGTGAAACCTGAACAAGTCATGAGATTTTGAGAAGAGGGAAAATGAGAGTCCAATAAACTTGATACACATAGATATTTTCCTTTTTCTGCAAATTGAAGTGACAAGTGGGAGGAAAATGATACTTCTTTATGAAAAAATGATGCATGCACCTTGTGATACAATCTTATTTCATGTTCCTCAAGAACTGCAGATCTTTGTGCAATTGAAGATGTGTTGTTCTGGTCAGTTTTTCCTGTCTAGAGTAGCAAGCTCGGGTGGGCGCGCTTCGCAGCGGTCCATCTGTGCGCGAGCGGACTGGCGGATGGATTACAGCGGCACAGCAGCGCAGCAGCGCCCTGTCTCGGCCCACATCTTCAACCTCAAGAACCCCCCGCACCCCCCGAAGCTAATAGCCAAGAACCCACCAGAGTAGTAATCACCATCGACCAATACGAAAAACAAAAAAACCGAACAAGCTGAACAGGAAGCAAGATGGGAAAACGGGAGAAAAAGACCGGGAAAGGGCGACTCGACAAGTATTACAGACTTGCCAAGGAACAAGGCTATCGCGCTCGGTCGGCATTCAAGTTAATTCAACTCAACAAACGTTACCAGTTCTTGGAATCCGCCAGATGCTGTATCGATCTATGTGCTGCCCCCGGTGGTTGGCTTCAAGTAGCTGCAAAATGGATGCCCGCCAATAGTACGTCGATTTGACAATAGGTTTCAGCCAATGAGCTCACGAGATGTTATTCTTACTTCCCTCAATGTTTTATTTAAACTTGCTGTGATATCCTAGGTTTGATCCTCGGGGTCGATCTGGTTCCTATCAAGCCTATTCCGAAAGTCGTCACGGCCACCGAAGATATTCGAACTCAAAGTTGTAGGATGTGGCTTCGTAGTGAATTAAAGGATTGGAAAGCTGATGTGTAAGGACAAACTATGCTGAATCTACTCTGAAGTCGCTGTCGGCTGATCAGTTCCTATGCATTTGATATTGATTCAGTGTTCTCCACGATGGAGCTCCTAATGTCGGAACGGCTTGGGTTCAGGACGCATTCAGCCAGTCGGAATTAGTCCTCCACTCCTTGAAGTTAGCAACAGAAATGTTGGCACAGAATGGGACGTTCATAACCAAAGTGTTTCGTTCGAAAGATTATAATTCATTGCTGTATATCTTCAACCAACTATTCAAGAAAGTGGAGGCTACCAAACCACCTTCATCTCGAAATGTTTCTGCCGAAATCTTCGTCGTCTGCCAGGGGTACTTGGCTCCCAAGAAAATCGATCCTCGACTCCTAGATCCTGCTCATGTTTTCAAGGATGTCGATCTAACCAAAAAGCCTACCGATGATCAAGCTGAAGCGAGTAGCAGTAAACTTACTCCCAATGCTCAGAACGTCTTCAAGCCCGAGAAGAAACGTCGGACAAGAGAAGGTTATGACGAGGGAGACTACACCTTGCACAAATCTTCGACAGCCTCTGCCTTGATCAATGCAAAAGATCCTGTCAGTATCCTCGGTGTTGCCAATTGCATCAAGTTTGACAATTCTCAACAAGATCAGGCGATATACAAACTGAAGGCAACAACTGCTGAGATTAAGACCACTTTGACCGATCTGAAAGTCTTGGGCAAAGGTGATTTCAAGAAAATCCTAAAATGGCGTACCGCCGTTCGAGAATTACTAGGAATCGATAGTAAGCCAGTCAACCAGGCGCCGTCGGAAGCTCCCGTGGAGGTTGAACCTCTGGATGAAGAGCAAATCATGAAGGAAGAGGTACGTGTTGACTTGATGTGGTCTCTTGTGATACTACTCAAATTTAACCGTCCTGTTTGATTTTTTTGTTGTCGTGCTCGTGTGGCCTTCAGCTTGCACGCATCCAAACCGAAAAGGCGTTGGAAAACAAGCGCGAGCGACGAAGACTCAACGAGAAAAGGACTCGTGATGTACAACGCATGCAACTTCAAATGACCACGCCCATGGACATCGGAATAGAAAACACGGATGGTGAAGTCTTTGGTCTTCAGAACGTTGATTCACAAGATTTGAGCTCGGATGATGACATGGAAGATATCGACGGAGCAGAGGGTTCCGAGTCACCGCTGGACACTGACCCAGAAGAGGATGAAGACGAAGAGGAACTTTCGGAGGATGAAGCGAAACTGCAGACTCTCGAGGAAGGCCTAGACCTCGCATACGACGAATATCAAGAAAACCAATTGCGCAAAGATGCCAAAAGAAAAGCACGAGAAGAGGCGCGCCGGTCGAGGCATAACGAGGACCAAGAGTCAGAATGGGCCGGCTGCAATGACCAAGATGATCAAGTTGATGAAGAAGACGATGAAATTGGAAGCGGTGATGACATCGAAGTTGTTCGACAGAAACGAGCTAAACTTCAGAAAGGACGTCAGGAGAACGATGATGACAGTGATAGCGAAGGCGAAGACGTCACCCTTCAAGCTGCACGAATTGTGGCCTCTAGGAAGACACAAAGATCTACAATAAAGCCTTTGCCCGCGAAGAAGCCCAAACTATTGGTAGATTTTGAAGAGGAAACCGACAACACCGTCGAGGCCCAAGCATCTGCCGCAGATTTGTGGTTTGATCAGCCAGTCTTCAAAGCCGTGGGAGGCGTCGATGGTCTAATTCCAGACGATTCGGAGGGATCGGACGACGGCCAAGATGAATCCCGAGCGAACGATGAAAGTATCTGCTTTGACGACGACGAGGACAGGAACTACCTCGAAGCACCAGGAACAGAAGACAGTGACAGTGAGATGGAGGCTGATGATCCGACTGGTGGAGTTTGGGACGATGAATTACCGGATCCCGATGAAAAGAATGCGGAAATTATTCGAGGTATGCCTTTGCAAGTCAGATTTTTTTTTCAATTTTAACATGAGATTTGACGAGTGCATTTCAATATTCTTCACAGAAAAAGGACTGCTCACTCCGCAGGCCATTCAGCTAGCCCTTGACTTGGTTAACCGCAAGAAAACCAAAGATCAGCTGGTCGACTCGGGGTTCAAGCGAGATGCATTTTTTGACGATAAAAATGAACTACCCACTTGGTTTTTGGATGATGAGATGAGACACTTTAGGGAGCACGTGCCGGTGACGAAGGAAGCAGTCAAGATTCTGAGGGATAAGATGAGAGCACTAAACGCGAGACCAATCAAGAAGATAGCGGAAGCCAAAGGACGTAAGAAATTACGGACTCTACGCCGACTTGAGAAAGCTCAGAGCAAGGCGAATACGGTCAACGAAACTAACGACTTGACGGAGAAAGAAAAGTCGCTGGAAATCGAAAAACTTATGAGTCGGATGCACAAAAGTCCTAAGACTAAGAGTGACATCAAGATCGTAGTGGCTAAAGGTGCGAATAGAGGTCAGAAAGGCAGACCTAGAGGTGTCAAGGGGCGATATAAGGTTCGTTTGATTTTCTATACCACATCATTCCAACCAGACATCGCATGCCCTGGATCCTATTCTGACATGGCTTGCTCAATTCAACTGATCCGATTGTTCCCTCAGATGGTCGACGCTAGAGGAAGGAAAGAATTAAGAGCACAGAAGAGGCAAGAACGAGCTTCTTCAAAGAGAAAACGAAAGTGATCAATGGCGTCGTCTCAAGGATAGTAACTTTCGGCACAAGAGCTCGCACAAGTGTTTATTGAGTCTTCAGTGTTTAGTATTTTATTTCCCCCGGTTACAGTAACTTTCTGAACATCTTTAGTAGTCATTGCTTCTCTTATTATCAATCTTTCCGCTCAATGTTTCCAACGCTTTCTCTAAACACTTGCTCAAAGGCATGCATCAACGGAAAGCTTTAGATTTTCACCCGTCAAGGGAGAGTTTGAAATGGGAGATGATTGTCTGGTATAAACTAAATTTGCGATGCATTTCTTGGAGCGCTTTGACCAGGCTGATATGGTGAGTAGAAGCTGCAGTCTATAGGTACAACTGAATGGTGTTTCTAAATGAATGAATGAAAGTCTAACTACAAGAATGTAGTGTCTCTGAAGTGGGAATGATGGACAAGCAAACTTTGCATATGTGGGCTGAACTAAAGCCAGGACAATTTGTGCATAGTTTTGAAGGATAACGGAGGAATGCCGCTTGGCTCTCGGCCCGTATCGAGTGTACGTGGGTTCCACTGGATGGCTATTTCGAGGCAAGAAGGGTGCAGTCAACCCCTTTTATGAGGACCAAGGCTTCCCACGTGGCTGTACAGCAAAGCTAGAGGCTTGCGGATCCACAGGTCAAGTAGACTGAGTGGCCAAGGGCAAGTCTCGAGGGATAATTCCAAACTGGAGCGCCATAGCGTTCAAATCGTCAAGAGATCAGTATCGTGTTTGGACAGAAATCATGAGACAGTTATTGTAAGATCTAGTTTTGAGCAGAGCTCACATGTATGTGGATCGCCGCAGACGGGAAATATAATCAGCCGGTGAGGGAAGGGATGATGGTGAAGAAGCAGGCTGGGCGGATGGCGAGTCTGTCGGGGTTACGGGCGAGCAGGGACGACGGCCCAGAGGGGCAAGGTTCGCGGGTGACAGAGCAGCCACCAGCGATCGTAGGGAGAGCTTCGCGGGAGACAGTGCATCCGCCAGCCATGGAGTGTGTTCCACGGGCTGTAACGAGAGCGGATTGGGTGGGCTTTTGGAGCATGGTGAGGGGCGGGTTGGAAGGAACGGATTCGGGCGGAGGCCGGTGGATTCGATGGTTCTGGGCGACTGGAGATTGGTATGATGGGTGGGTGGAGTGGGCAGCTTGGCCGCCGACCCGTGTTGGTTATACACCGCGGGTGCAAAATTTTTTGAGTTCGACGTCAGCCGACTCTGGCTGGGCAGTAGACGTCAATTCCTGAGCAGCTACGGCTGATCCCTGTATCACAAAAGCCTGAACGGCCCACACCCATCTGCAGACAGCCCCCACACAGCAAGCCCCCAGGCTCACAACTCCTGGCTGTCATGACTGAGATCCCGTCCCCATGCGGGCTCGGAGACGCTGCCAAGACAGCAGAAAATCCTACCCGTCTGAAGCGGTCTAAATAAATGAGGCACATCTGGCAGTCGGCGTATCTACCGCCCCGCACCAGCGGGCACCATCACTCACAGCATCTGCACGGTCTAGCACAAAAGGAGAACGGGGTCTCTGTTGGGAACTAACCACTCAGGCCTGCAATACCCACCGCACCCTCTGCTCACTGGGAGAGGCGGTGTGATCTCCGTTGTGTATGCAGAGGCTCTGGGTGATCTACCTTCACAAACCGAGTGTTGATCATTGCCCCGTACTTATTGACATGCTTCAGCTTCAGTGTGAACACTTCAGAATTTTTCTGCAGCCACACCACCATCAACCCATCACATTATTCCAATTTCTCCAACTGTTTCCCAGGCAAAAAAACAACCAACATTCCCCCACTGCTAACTTCAATTCCACCCAGTACTATTGCAGATGTCGACCACCATATTCAACCATGAGCAGTAGCATTGAGGGCAATGGATGCTTTGCACTGTTGAGTGTGAGTACTGACCCTGACCTTGCCGAGGCTTTTGATGAAGCTGACATTCTAGCAATATGTTTGGCAGCATTCTTTACTCCGATATAGACTTGAGTTCATCTAACCCCCCATCGAGGAGGAGCTCATGGCCCAATTTGTCTTGATGGCACAAAAACGACTGGCCACAACTGGCCACTACAACAACCAACACAGGATCTGGGGACGAGTGGTCGTCCACAGCTGGATGCACAACCCAATCTTTTCATATGTTGGCCCTCTGTTAGCTGTTCAAGTTCGCCCTTGAGGCAATTTTTTTAAATGTTTCATTTCACCTTGTGACCGCTTTCTATTGCTTCAGGGGGTTGGTATCGAGTGCCGTACCTTGCCCTTCGCAAATCTAATTATAAACATACATGTATATTTGTTCAATCTTTAACATACGGTGCCCCCCCCCCCCCGAGAGGGATAGATTCGTAGTGCATGCCGTCGGCGGCACCAAATGCATGCATTGATCATGCCTTTGGCCGGGATAGACTGTCTCAACCCTCAGCCCAGGCCACTTGGTACAACAGCCAGACAGTCGGACCATGCGTCATGTGTGTGAGCTGGTCATTTGCGTGTACTTCTCCGCTAGATGACGGCCCTCTTGGCAAAGCACGTTGTTGTTGCAGGGCAGCGCTGGTTGGGAGACGGTTTCTAAGCTACGTCTGTGGACGAAACTGCCCGACGAGCGCAAGCGGTCACTTTTGAGACGGCTCCTGGTGACCGTCATTCAGACCTTGTACGGAGCCCGTGTATGGGCCGTGGGGGCTTGCGCGGAGGGTCCTGTCTCCTGACGGTCAAAAATGACTGTCGCACTGACGGGATTCTGCACCCGGGGTGTAGGCGTCCGACTAGTAGCTGGAGACTGCATTTTTACAGCTGTGATCCGATTGCACTCGCTTTTTTCTGATGATTTAAATATGCAGCTGAGAGTTTGATTGAAGATTCTGCTATTGCAATCCGACTTTTTATGTATTATCTTAGAGATGGCTCTTGATAAACTGCTTGCAATCCGGAGCTGGATGGGGCCGAGACGATGGTTCTGATTGTTCTTGCAGCCACGAGCAAGTCGATGACATGCAGGGCATTCTGAAAGCTCCTATAAACCGACTGTGAGTGACAAATTTGATGAAGTCCAAATCCGGCGGGCCAAGGCATGCCTGGTCATCATCATTCCAAGGCCCTAAATGAAATTGTGCTTTCGGCCCCGGATTTGCACAATTACTTAATGTGCACCCGAAGAAGATCAGGCATTGATCAAGCTAGTATTCTAAAAAATACCCCACGCGACGTGGCTAGCTAGAGAGCTCCTGACATATCACGCCGGCACACGCAACCCGCATCGATTTTTGGAACATTCGGCGACCGCCATCATTGTGGGAATCGGCTTGGTCCTTCCAATAGCTGCTCATCAAGCCCTTATTTTTCACTGACAATATATAATTATTTGCATGTCTGTTTTCGGATCATCAGCCAAGAGAAGGAAGGAACACGCGCGCGCGTGTGTGTGTGAAGCAAGAGGAGCATGGAAGCCAACAAGACTAACTATGTGTACAAACACATTTCTGGATATATATATGTATGTTATATATAATAGCGATGGATGTAAAGATTTCAAGGAGAAAGAAGGAAAGAAAAGGAAAGAAAGCTGAGAAGAAACAAAGGAACTACCGCAGACGCATATTATATCAAGGATTGCTGAGGGTGAGAGTATTCTTCGAGTCGAGCAGCGGAATGAGCACCAGTCACCCCCCACATCGTCCGCCAACCCGGACTTCTCTCCCCATCAAACAAAATCCAAAAACCAAAAAAACCAAAAGGCAAAACCAAAACCAATAGAATGAAATACCATCAAAAAAAAAACGCGAACATAAGATTGGAAACCCAAGCACAGCATGCATATGATTATGAACAGAGACATTGGAATGGAGGACTAAGAAGAGCTCATGTTTGGATGTGGGTCGCGTTAATGATCAATATGTGAAAAATTTCGAGACGAGAGATGGGGGAACGATGAAGACAAGGCACTACATAGCCGGAGTACATAAACACATAGAACTGTTCAATTTTTTGAGTTCATTTGTCGATTTTTAGTTTTTTTTTTTTTTTTTTTCTTCGTTAGTTTTTGTATATATATATATATGTGTGTATTTTTTTTTTGATTCTTATGTGGTTTTGAAACCCAATTTTTTTTCATAAAAAAACTGTTATATATATAGGTATATATATATGTATATATATCTTGGTTAGATCATTGAGCAATATAATGAGAACGAGTCAGCCAAAAAAAAAAAAAAGAAGAGACGAAAAAAAAGAACGAAACAGCATCATTCGAGATGGCACAAAGCACGGCAATCGATCCGAGGTTTGAAAAAAACAAAAAGAGAGTATAGTCAAAGGGGGGGGGGGGAAGCAGAGGGGAAGCTCATACGACATTAGTGACTTCGGAGCAGTCGGACTGTTGTCGTCGTTGTCATCGTCCACAAGAGGGAGGGAGCCTTCCTTTCGAGCGGCGAACTGGCTGGGCGAGGGGTAGTAAGGATACGCCGGCGCCAGTCGAGCTGCGGATCGGGCGATGATGGTCTGACGATGGGCCTCGTTGATGCGAATGATAAGGGAATGGATGAGGCTGAGCTGCTTGCCGGTATGGTCGAGCGTATCCTTGTCGTTACCCGAGAGGCTGTTGTGGACGAGGCTTTGGGCAGCCGATCCGGCCAGGGAGGGCGTCGAGCGGGTTGTCGAGCGGGGCGAGAGTCGGAACCGTTTGTGATGCGGCAAACTCTCGCCGCCCTCGCCGCCTTCCTCCGAGTCCGAGTCTCCTTCCTCTCGAGGTGACGGCTCCTCGCCGATCTCATTCACCCACTCCTCCGGCACTGCCGGCGACGAGGACGATCTGATTGAGGCCACACTCGCCCTGCGAGAAGCAAGGTTCATCCCACGCACGCTGGGCACGAGCGAGTCCGCCGTCTCCGTCCTTTCACTAGCAGTCTTGTCCTCCGCGGACCGGCCGAAAGTTGCGGTCAAATTCATTAACGAGGGATAGATCGACTTCGGTCCGCTGCTCGCGCTGCGTCCGGCCGGCACAAAGCTACTGAATTGGGCTGGCGAACCCGGGGATGAGACTGCACTGGCCGGCGACGAACCCCGATCAGAATCGCCAAACAAAGTCCGGAGCGGTGGTAAGGTGGTCCCGGATAACGGCTTGGATTTGCTGAGGCCCATGGGGGCCAACTCGAGACTTTGGTCGATGCTCAGCCGACGAGAACTTGAATCGGCCCCGTCGTTCGAGAAGTCGACTTGGTCCGCCAGTTTCTGGCCGGAGGGCTGAAGCGCGGATTCCATGTTCGTGGGCGCATGAGTAGCCACTGGCATGGCTCGTTGGAGCGGATTAACCTTGTGAAGACTCATAGGCGCGGAGTAATACGAGGCGGACGAAAGCTCAGGTGGCGCTAGCGGTTTGGAGACTCGCATTTGGCAGTCAGCCGGGGGTCGCTGAAGATTAGGATAGCCGCAATAGGAGGTCGGCAGGGTTGGATAATTGGATGAAGAAGTGACCGGAGGCATGGATCCATAGGACGGATTGTGGGGGTGGCGTGCAGTGTGGAATGAGGAAGTACGATCAAGTTCAGCATTCGGGATATGATGGTTGAGAGGAGCGCTGGAGAGGGAAGTTGTCGAAGTCCTCTTGACTGCTGGCTGCTCAGTCGGCAGGCTGGTGTTGAATGACAGTATATCTGGCCAGGAGGGTCCGAATATGGCGGCCGTCGACGACTCGATTTCGCTCCCAATGTGGGCTAGCAAATCAGTCAACTTGTCCGTCTCAGCTTTGTCCGCAAGCCAATCAAGGTCCGATGGCGGGCTCAGTGTAGAGCTCTGCTCGGCCGGGTAAGGATGGGGCGACGAGACCGGTGACGACGCATCAGAGGAGCTATGTGAATCCAACGAGGGAAGGTTGAGATTGACGTCGGGACATAGGAATTTGGCCAATCGGGCGATGGCTACAAAAAAAAAAAAAAACAATACCAAAAGAAGAAGAAAAAATCTTAGAGATGTGAGGCAAAGCACTAGATGTAGATTGTGAGACTCACTCTCGTCCGAATCTTCCTCAAATTTACTTCGCTTGCATCTCGAAATCAAGTCGTAGACAGCTTCATCATAATCACGCTTGTGTCCTCCGACAGGCGGGGGTGGCTGAGCACTAAATGAATGACGAGGAGCGCAGAGGCTCTGGAACAGATCGTCGCTGGTTTGGGATCGGGTGATATCAGAAGCTGCACCCGGTGGTGAAAGCGGGTGATGAGGGGGTGAGCTCAAGCTCGATCGGGCGTAGCTAGGATGAGGGGGAGTCCGCGTGGATTGGCTGACATACGGACCAGGATCTTGAGAAAAGTTGGACAAGCCTTGATCAGATAAGCAGTCGGTAATCGAGCCGATCGAAGCGCCAGAAATACTAGTATTCTGAGGGCGACTACTCAACATCTGCAGGGATGGGTAGCTCAAGTCGGCCCCAGAAGAGGCAAACTGTCGAGAGCAATCAACACTAGAGACGGGTGCAAGTGGGTTGTTCGTCATGGACATATGAGTCGTTGTGGCTGAGGGCATGGGGGTGGGGTATGAGACAGCGTTTGGAAAGATAGGCCCGGTGACAGATTGCACGCCACCCATGAGATTCTGAGAGCTAACAGTCGAGCTGGCTAGTACGGAGTGATAGGCTTGTTGAGCAGCTGCCTGTGCTAGACCATGGATGACAACCGATTCATTCATATCTTGTTGTTGTTGTACCAAGTGACGGACTGAGGGCCAAGAAAATTGATTGGAGTTCTGAGAATTGTTGAAGTCAAACGGGCTAGTTGATGAGGACATAGTGTGGGACTGTTGAGCTTGGGCATGCTGAGGAAGTGGAGCGTAAGGGCGATTGCTGTAGTTGACTGGGTAGAACGCAGGAGCTTTGGCTGCTTTAGAATGTTTATGGTGGATGTGATGTTCCTCTGTGTGAATCTTTTCGTGCTTCTTGAGATCTTGGGGTCGCTTGAAGGCTTTGCCGCAAACCTGTTCGAAAAAACCAATAGCGAGATGTTAAGTACAGATATTCCAATATACCTGGGGTGAGAATCAGATACTTACGTCGCAATTGTGGGGCTTGAGAGGTGTATGAACTGATTGAAAGAGGAAGAAGCCGGCGTCAGTACCAAAAAAAAAAAAAAAAAAGAATTGAAGTACGGCGTGTTGGAAATTTACCCCTCAAATGACTGGTGATGTGGTCTCGCTTGACGCAAACTGTTTCGCAATTCTAAATAAAGCGGAAGACTGGAAATTAATTCTTGGAAGATATATATCAAGGAGACAGCTGAGCAGCGGACCTTCCAATGGCAACGAAGGGTGAGGTTTCCAGTTGATTTACGACCGATGTGGCGATCGCAAAGATGACGATAGAGGGCCTATTGTGGAAAGGAAGGCGAGGTGAGCGGTTATGATCGAGGTAGAAGAGAATGGTAATCATAGATTGACCTCAGGATCTGGAAACAATTCTGAGCAGGCTGGCTCCTGCCATTCGCACTGCAATACTTGGGCAGAAGCCGTGCCGTTATGGGGTGCCCCAGCCGGGAGGATGTGAGTCATGATCGAAGACAGATAGTCTGAGCTGGGCGATTCAGTTGTGTTTGTTCAAGTCGTGCAGGTTCGATCGTGAGCTGGACAATGAGTACCAGGTTATTGCTGTGTCCGGGTTCAAAGAAGGGAGGGGAAGTCAGCAAGCATCCAGGCTAGAAACAGCTGATAAGATAGCAATGAGGAATATGAAGGGCGAGACTTACGGAGTTTTCAGTTGTTGTTGTTGTTGTTTTTGTACTGGGGATGGTTTTGAACAAGGTGCTTGTCAAATCTAATGTTGGGAGTGAATGAGCTTAGTTCTGGAGAACACACACGTGAGACAGACATAATCAATTGAGCAGGATGAAAAGGGTAGGATGAGAAAACAGTGTTAGCCTGCGGAGATTCAATGAGAGCGGGGTCAAGCGGTTTTCAATATGTAGCAGAGATTGATGTTCTTGATGATGAAGAGTCAAGTTCATAACGAACAACGCTCACGTTTCTGAGACAGTCAGCAAAGATAGTGATCAGCTGAGAGGAACCGATCAATCAAGACTGGAGGGTGAAGCAGATGGCTAGAATTCTCTCGCTCGAGGGCGTCGGTGGAGATGGGAGAGTTGGGGACTAATAGGAATTGGAGGTGGGTGATTGTGAAGATGATATGTAGTCTGATATGTTTGCAAGCATTTGTTTGTTTAAATATCTGTTGTTGTTGAGGGATTTGGCATGTAGGCCTTTTGGGATCGGCTGATGGGTACGGGATAGGAGCCCAGTGAGGTTCAGCAGTTTGGTAAGCAGCTGGGGGGTGAGAGGGAGGAAGTTGATGGATGAGGAGGGTGAGTTGGATGGTTGAACTTCGTAAATGAGCCGGAAGGAAAGAAGGAAGAGAAGTAGAAAAATATAAACAATCTACCCCGAGCATCATCACTGATCTTGGCAAGGCTTGGCAAAAAAAAACCAAACCCAAAAAGATGGACTTCGAGACTCTTGGCATTTCCCTGAATGCGATGCACATACACAATACAGGCCACCAGGGTTTCACACAGCTTAAAATCTTGTTGCATGTATGATCGAGTGAGGAGAGTCCTACATAAATACATATCAAAGAGACTCGCAAAAACAGGATTCATGGAAATGAACCATGAGAGACAAAGTCGACTCCAAGTAACCCAATCAATCTCATGCCCAAACAACCAGGAGAGCCATCCGAATAGAAACCTGAATTAATCTGCACAGAGAAAAAAAACACACTATATATCCATCCCTCCCATCCCGGACTAGATATATCCCTGGCACTCCCTGGCTAAATCAAACACACACAGGAAGCAGCTTCCAGCTGAGGGGCGGCCAGCTGAACATCCATATATCCAGTCCATCTAACATCAAGCTCTCTCTCTCTCTCTAACCTCAACTCAGCCTGTAAAATCAACACACTCTTCGCCTGGCCTGGCTCAAACTTTCATCATCAAATCAATCAAATCATACTCCAGCCTCAACTCCTGGAGGCTTCTTGGCACTCAGTCTGTGTATCTGTGTACCTACATAATACATCATCCTATAATACTCTCAACTCAATACATCATCTTCATCTGTATCCATTTCTCTTGGGAGGGGGGTCATCAATCAGATTTAAGGTTTCCAGGTACATCACATTCAATTTGATGGGTTTGAGCTTGGGAACATTTTATCAAAGAACAATATCATGATTTTTGCAAATGTTTTGTCATGTCATACATATTTTTTTTTCTTATTTTTTCTTGTGTCAGGTGTGAGGGATCCTTCCTGCAAAAAAATGGAGTTTCAGCAAGCTTTCAGGCAACCTCAATCACACTTGATAATCATTCTAATGCTGAGTCACAGTTGAAAAAACAAAATGAGACATTACAAGTTGACTAAAATCAACAAGAACATATAGAATTCAATACAAACCTCATATTCAAATGCATAAGATCAGTGCAAATTAGCTGATTATCTAACAGCCCTAGGCTCAAGAATCAGACAACACACCAGGGAAGTCCTGTTGGATCCAGCTTCCTTTCAGACATTAATTTGGACACAACAAGCAATATATATATATATTTGTTCAGGAGATTCACGATTTTCATTAATCCAAATCAATTCTCAAGGGGGTAAGGGGACTGAATATTGTGACAGGAAGTCCTTCAGTAACAGCATCACCAAGCTGATGAGAACCCAACCACCTCCCTGCCAGCTTTGCAAGGATTATTTGGTCCATCTTGTACCTGCCTGCCATGGAGATTCCTCCTGGAAGAATGAGTATAGGTTGTATACACCAACTTGCCAAGGCAAATTTTTCCCTTGATCAGTGAGCTATTGTGTATGTGCCAATTTGCCAAGAAGTACCATAAGCTATGGCAAACAGGTAAATGCGGTATGTGAACACATTCTTCCTTGGAACTAAGTATTTAATGATGGCACAGAGTATCCCAATCAACAATTTATTATTTTGGATGATGAGGATTCAGACAGAAACAAAAACCATGGAGACAGTGATGTATGTTTTCTCTACTTGATTGGAAAGTGGGGCTTCAAATTAATCAATGCAAAACTTCCACCAAGGAAAACAATTGTTCGATCTATATCAATCAACAAACCATCCTGCCATTCCTTTTCATGATCCTCTGATGGAAAAACACATGCACACATCACTGTGCCAAAAGAAAAATTCTCTCTCAATCGGACCGACCCTGTGTCAATGTGTGAGAGGCTATCATGGCCTATTTTGATTTATCTCCATTTAATCCCCACCTGAAAATTTTTGCACAATGATGGTGTGGTGAAATAAGAGTATTAAGGCTGAAAAAAAACTTTGATTAACACCACAAGTTTCAGGGTTTTTGAAGTGTAGTATACACTGTACTGGTCCTTGGTGAAAATTCTTCTGAGTCCCTACATCATAGGTTTAAGATTCTGTTAGCACTGCAGTAGAGATGTCACTCGATACCCGGGTACCTGTAGCGGGTGCGGGTACCTGCCTCAAAAATCCAATATTTTTGACACCCGCACCCGCACCCGCACCTGCTAGGGCCGCTAGGGCGGGTACCCGGGTACCTGCGCCGGGTACCTGCGCCGGGTACCTGCGGGTACCTGGCACATTTTTGCAGGCAAATATACCCAGAAATCTCACCCTTGAATTTCTGCATGACTTGGTAAATATAGGATTGATATTCACTAGATATATGAGTAAGAATAAAATAGAAATAAAGAAATAAAGAAAAACAAATTATTCTATCATCAATTTGAATTTTATCTTCTCTTTGATCTATCTTTAGCTTTACCCTTTTTCTTGGCCTCATTTGCCCTATTCAATTTCCATTGATGAAGACTGTACACCTTCTTTATGACTGGAGGAATCCCTCCAGTCATCAAGAATGTACACCATCTCAAAGGCCGGAGGGAACCCTGCGGCCTCAACAAAGCAACCAGATTAGTTCAGCAACACATGTAGGACACCAGCTGGTGTCCTAAATGGGTTGCTGACACCTTTGTGCAGCCCAACACACCCAAAAAAGGGAGTGTTGGACCACCAATGATAAATTAAATTCTTCAGGGGAAGCATTCCCTAGCTTAACTAAGCCTCTCCTTCGGTCGGGGCCGAATGGCCGACCCCGCGTCCCAAAGGGACGCTCTCGGAAGGAGAGGCTTATGCCATAAGTCTCTCGGAAGGAGAGGCTTATGCCATAAGTCTCTCGCACGGCTTGAGGCTGGCAAATTTTTGCCAGGAAAATCTGTAAAATTGCACTGATCTCCGTTTTTAAAAAAATTGTACGGATCAAATCCGACTTGGATTAGTCCAATGTGTAGCCTTCGATTTCAGGCTTCTCGATTCTTTTTTTTGTAATTTTTCATCCACAACAGGCTGTGGTGCAGTCCATCTTGTACCGCCATTCCCTGATCATTGCAATCATACGTTCGGAGTATCCGAATGTTGTTCGGAGTATCCGAATGTTGTTCGGACAACAATCTCACATGGCTTTTTAACTATTAACTTATGAGCGAGCTCTTACTATTAAATTATGAGCGAGCTAATTTACTATTAACTCATGAGCGAGCTCTTCTGAATAGAAATCTCTGGAAGATTCCCATAGGCTGACATTCTATGGGTTTGGGCCTGATCCATACAGCTAGGTATCCGGTCTCTACCAGACCGGATTTCAGGGACTCCTAAACTCTCTACATCACCATAGCTTCCAGGGCAGAGCAGGGGATGGGGATGTTAAGTGTTGAGGACTAGTAGAAAAACACGCTGATTCCAATGGTGCCATTGGCAAATGTGGAATCAGCAATGTTGACGGTGAAATTGGGTGAAAATGACATTTTAATGAAAATGGCTGGGTGGCCTCAAGCCATTTTCCGCTCATCTGTCACAAGTCCCTCCCTGCGGGAGGGGGCGCTTCGCGCCCAGCGACAGTGTTACACAGCGTCCTCCCACCAGAGGGAGGGACTTGTGTTAAGTTAGAGCATTCCCAGGGCGGGTGTAAGGCGGGTACCCGGGTACCTGCCTTTTTTTACCGTAAATGTTGACACCCGCACCCGCACCCGTTACCTGTTTCCGTGTACCTGCTTTGGAAAACAGGTACCTGCAAACGGGTACCGGGTACCTGCAAACAAGTACCTGCTGACATCCCTACACTGCAGCATATTTATCAGATCGAATCACTGCAACAGAGGCCAAACCAAACATAAACAGGCTTAGTGTAAAGCTGTGAGAAACTGTTATGTTTTTGTATAATTATGATATCTGGGATAATGCTAATTTTAGCATATCTTTCCCACTGTTGGTTCATGCATCCCATTGCTGTGTAATTGGATGTAAATCATGGAAGATCAATGGTCTCACTCCAGTATTCCTGTGTAGATAATCGCTTACTGCCCAAGCCCCTCTTGCTTCTGTTATAAGTAGGTATGTAGATGTTGTCAGGCAAGTGGATATATCTAGCAAACAAGATCAAAGAAAATTACCAATTCAGGCAATCTGATCAGCAGCAATTTGAACCTTTATGATTCATTCACAAAAAAAACTCTCAGCTTCTCCACTGTCTTGCAGAACAACAATCAAGTAATTCAATACTGAGTTGGATTGTAGGTTCAGATGAATCAGTTTCCAGGTCAAATCAACACTTCAGTTTGACTCCAGTCCTTGGATTACATGTGAGGATGCCTCACAATGTATAATTTTTTTAGTCAAAATGTCCAAACTTTCTTTTTTAATTTATATTCTTCCTCTGTAGTTTTCTGTTCTCTCTCTTTATTTTTAATTTAATTTTTTTTTTACGTTTTGAGACAACAATTAAAAAATTTATGACAGTTGAATGATGGAAATCTTTTTGATCAATTTTACAAATGATTTATCTCATTCTTGTTTCCTTCATAATCAATCATTGAATGCTATCACGCAGTGCTTCACTGCTCTTCTGATCCCCATGATTTCAATCCTGTTGGTTGAACTTCTAAATTGCAAAAGGAGGAGTCAAAGAAATCAGGAAATGAGGGCTTCCTGTCACAAGGATGGAATGATCTAGACAGTGATCCTGAAAAGGGAGCCTGATTGACCACTAGTGAAAACTCAACCTCAACCAATTCTTACCAACACAGGTGGTTGAAGACTTCCTCCTAAAGTAACCAGTTCAAGTCCTCCAATCTGCCCAATCATCAAAAAACCTGTTTCCCTCACATCCAGTCAATCAAAAGATCTGGCTTGAAATAAATTCTTTTTTCTTTCCCCATTCTCATAAGGCCAATGGTCAAAAATCCACCTTCAGTAAACTAACACTGTAAGTCTGTACCGCAGCTGCTATTTCTTTTGAAGCTTTTTTGGTAGGATTTTATGTTGAACTATTTTTGATGTATTCTACATGTTTTTTTGTTTATGATTTTCTTTCAACTAAGGCACTGATTATAAACAATATTTTGAAATATATTTGAAATTTTTCCAAAAGTATTTGAACTTCTTTTTCATTTCTTTTTCATTTCTTTTTTCTTTCAAAAACTCACTCAAAAACTTTCAAACCACCTCCGGAGGTGGTTTGAGATCTCAAAAACTTCATTTCTGAAAAGAATACAGGATTGTGGGCAGCATTTGACTGTATAGTATCAAAACATACAGGAGCCACTGCACACAGTCGAGACAGGGGATACCAATCCATTCCCACCACATCCTCACCCGACTGGTCCGACTGCCCCCACCCGAAGGAAACATCAACCCAGCCCAGCCACCAACAACCAAGGCCGATGTGGAAAGCAAGGCGCGCCCTAGGAGATTTCTTGTCCTTCTCCGCTCCGCAACACGTCTTACTCCGATTTGTTGTCCGGGGTAACTTGCTTGATGGTCTTGTAGGTAGGTAAAATAGTTCTCTTTTATTGATCTTTTGTAGGTAATACTCTAACTCGGGGGTTGATAAGCGCAAGCCAACCCCCCTCGCGCAAGCCAATCCGCACGCCATCTGCAGATTGGCGTGCGCGCCTGCACGCCAACGAAAATTGGCGTGCGGGGCGGCACGCCAATGACCTGCAGGGTATATCCCTGCAGGTTGGCGTGCAGGCCCTGCAGCATTGGCGTGCGGCCTCGCACGCCAAAGGTGTTTGGCGTGCGACGCCGCACGCCAAAGCTGCAGGGGCCTAAACGCATATACATATGCGTTTAGGCCCCAGGCCAACCCATACGACCCAACCCTGGGTCGTATGGGTTGGCCACTTTTAACCTTGATCGGCCATTGGTCAAGGTTTAAAACCTTGACGTGCAACCTTGAACATCCGTGTAGGACCCAGGCCTGGGTCCTACACGGATGTTCCACCGGGGGCGGGGTTCCGGTCCAGCCCCGCGCCCGGGGTTCGATCCTCAGCTCGGCTGGTCGCCTCCGAGCCCCTCCCTCCCTTTCCTACCCTCAACCACCATCTCACCCAGTGGACCAGCCGTGGGTGCCGGATCGGATCGGTTCGGATCGGTTCGGATCGTCCGGATCAGCTTGAAATCGGGCGTGCGTGGTTTCCCCTGCTTCGAACGGGTTTCGGGGGCTCTGGGGTCGGGTCGGGTCGGTCGGCGAGTGGGATGGGGCGCGATGGGTCCCGCGGGGTCTCGTTTTCGAATCGGTCGGAGTGAGGTGGTGGTTAACGGTAGGATCGGATGGGGGGAGGGGCGCAGTGGAAGCAAGAGGAACCCAGCAGGCGGGGCTGGACCCGAACCCCGC